TCCTCTGTCGCCGAATTGCCCCATATTTAAAACATTTCTGAGCTCTACATGGGAAATTGTGAAAGTGTTTTTATTTTGAAATATAAGGTACTTTCAGACCTGAAACTTGCTGAGGAAGAGCTAAATCGCGACGATGATGCGTCCGAAGATGATGAGGATGAAGGGAAAAATGTTGTTATACGATTTGTTCCCTCTGATCTTAAGTGTTTGTGAGTGTAGCTACGATATCATTAAGTTGTGAGCCACAAATGTGGTATAGTCTGCGGACGACGGGACGTGTCAGCGCAGGCTCCAAATTTTTTTTTCGACAAGCGACGATATCGTTCGTATCAGTTGTTTTCCACCATTTGTTGGCATTTACCGCTGGCTCGCCTCAGCATCCGCAGCGAACGAGGCTGTACCACTATAGTATTTTGTAGTGTATGAGAGAGCTTTCTTCTTTATTTGCAATGAGGGTATTTTTTACAGTGCAACAAGTATACACCGAGATGTGCAATTGTCAAGAGCTGAACCCTGACGAAAATGACGACTTTTCAGGTAGGTTTTTGTAAAACTAAACAGTGATTTCACTGCGTTTACCTTTGCAGACGAAGACGCTGATGGAGAAATGATAGTAGGTGAAAGTGGTGATTCCATGATTAATGAAGATGGATGGTACACAGCTGAGAATGTGAGTCTTTCGCTGAACCTTTTCAAATATTCACGTCTCGCTGAATATCCTGAAAAGCGAGGATTGGATATCATCCCTACTTTTTTGAATTTTGGCTTCTTCTGCTGTGCTTCTCTTCTCAAAAGTGTATGCGCCGCTTAACACATTGACGATCGCGTGATTCGCATCCAATGCGCGCATTGTAGGCCGCGTGGGACCGCGCGAATTGTATACGAATCACGATCAACAAATCCATATCTTTCACTATCGCACGGTTTTTTGTTCAGTTTCCCATATTCATACTATAGTTCAATCCTCAAGTTACTCGCATAACGCGTGGTCCATGAAATAGTCTTAGAACTTACTAGTTTAGCAAAGACTCCCTGGGATAGAATACCCTTTGCTTCGATTGATTTGCTCTTCAATCATTTGCTCACAAATATCTTTGTAGAAGGCACGACCTGTGTTTCTTGTGGAAACATTGGACACAGAAAAATCACTACCAAAGTTCCTAGCCATTTCCATGAGCCTGAATAAGTGTCTTCTTGAGCGGAGTTTTCGTCCCTCTTGCGAATCTTCTAGTATTTGAATTGACTTACTTTATACTTGCTCTCCAAAGCAGATTTTCTGATCCAACCTCTAGAAAGGGCGCCTCGTGGGACCGCGTGAATTGTATGCGTCTCGCGCCTGTCGCGTTCGAAAAGGCGCGCGTGTCCCACGCGGCCGAAAAGTAAAAACCCGCGCGGTCGTCAACTGCTCCTATTGTCTATAATGTATGCGCAGTACGCATGCTTTACGAAGAAATGAGACCTTCCTCGGTGATCATGCCTTAATATGCTTTGCGAGTTTATCTTATGTTTAGTGATAGTTTAGTACAGCATAAAAATTTTAGAGTGAAAGTTTGGAAGCATGAGATATTTTCAGATTGGAGATGGTGAGCATGTGGAACTCAGTGAAGAAGGACGAGCAAATTTAAATCGTATTTTAAATCGCTCTCGTAATGGCTGCGGAGATCACGGTTCGTTTGTCTGTCGTTATTTTCCTTGTTTCATGAAAATCCTAAATTTTTTCCTAGCTTCACTTAATACTTACTAACTAAATTAGAGCGGACCATTGTCTCTCATGCGCTGGAAATACTTCATTTCACTGTAACTGTCTTTTCACTCTTCCTTTTTATTGAATAGTTTTAGAGGATACCGATGAAAATGGAATGGATGAGCAGTAATCTACATGACATACTGACGTTGCAACCTATCTTCATTTTCTCATTCGGGGTCAAGCGGTCCATCTTGACGTGTCAATTGATCTTCATTGTTTTTCCTTCCGTTATGCCGGTGACTGAACCCAGTTTTGTTTTATATCACGTCGAAAGTTAAACACCCACTGTACGCTTGGAGAAATTTGGCTGTAACTGCTGACAATGTGGTTTGCCATTATCTTCACTACATTGCCTGGACTTTTTACGAATTGTTTGTTGTTGTTACTTGATAAACCTCCTATTCTTGGGTCGCTCACAAATTTATCACAGGAGTTATGGTCAAAAGTCAGATCACGGGCTGGCTCGAATTCTCATCTCCCGCAGAGGGAGATGCGGCTTTGAGTCCCATCCGGTCTGACCTTAAGTCATGAGTTAGCACTTTTGTGATAACTTCTCGATCGCGCACTGCGTCGTCAAATAGAGTTATCAAACTGATACAACAATAAAGTTGTCCTCTAAAAATAACCTTAATCAAATGTATGTCGTATCAGACTTCTCGTCTTCGCTCCAAGTAAAGCAACGCATGATGAAGCAAACGCAGCAATGCGGCAGCAGAAGTTACTAGAAAACTGAAGTATTCTTCTTGGCTCTGCGTCATAGTATGTGGAATCAGGCTTCTACAGAGGCGAGAAGTCTGCCGGTGTATAGGGTACATAGCAGGACCTTGTGCAAGACCCTGGTTCAGTTCCGGGGGGGGGGGGGAAGGGGAGTATTCAGCTCTTTCACAATAACTCATTCACATCGACGCAGATCTACGTGCAGCAGCAATCGC